TTTTGTCTTTTTGAAGCAGGGTCTCCCTGTAGCCCCAGCTGTCCTGGAACTCACTATGTAGACCAGGCTGGCCTTGAACTCACAGAGATCCGCCTGCCTCTGCCTCCCAAGTGCTGGGACTACAGGCGTGTGCCACCACGTCTGGCCATCCAATAATTTTTAGCTTCTGTTTTTATAATAGAAAAAATAAATCAATGTCTTGCTTTATGCACACGAAGTTGCTTTAAAAGTCTGACTAGAAATCACTGAATGTGGGTGTCTATAAACTGTTTGCTTCTAAAACGTTGAGCTATGAGAAAAAAAGGATGTTTTCCTCTTTCAGTGTCCCTGTGGTGCTGCTTTTCTTTCTCTACACACACACACACACACACACACACACACACACACACACACACACATACACACACACCAACCACTGACCTTTTTTCTTTTCCTCTGCTTGGTTTTAGCTGAGTCTTGTCCAGTACTCCCATTCCCTAGGGATCCTGACGTAGCTTTCCCTGAATGCTGCAATCCAGATGATGGAGCTGTTGGTGTAGGAGGAGGTGTGTTCTCAGGGGAGTCTGGGCAGGACTTCATACAGGACCCCTGCCCGAAGAGACAGGGCTTTGGAATAAATTTATCTTCTAGCAACGGGAGATTTTCTTTACTGTCTCATGTGTTTAATGCTATTTACAGATTACAAATTTATTATCCACTCTATAGAAAGGATGCCCCCAGATTACAAATTTATTATCCACTCTATAGAAAGGATGCTCCCAGTCTTTCTCCCTAAAGTTCTAAGCAGGTCAATTTTTAACCTTGTTATTCAGACAAAATCAGAATTCTTCCCCTATCACTTTTAAAACTGTTAATTTTGTTAGATACCAATACTTCTTTTTTCTAAAAATACTTTATTTTTATTTTATATGTATGGGTGCATTCCCTGCATATATGTAAATGTACCTGTGTTGTGCAATGCCCATGGAGTTCAGAAGTGGATGCGGATCCCCTGTAACTGGAGTTACAGCTGGCTAGTCACCATGTGGGTGCTAGGAGTTTAACCTGGGTCCTCTGTAAGAGCAGTTAGTGCTCTTAACTGCTGAGCCATCTTTCCAGCCCAGATACCAATATTTCTAGACAAACTTTTCTGCTAGTATTTCAAATTTACATGTTTCAAAAGGAACCTCTAATCTCATCTGAAACTGGATTCTTTTCAGATACTACCTGTGTCAGGGGCTACCAATACTTCCTCTGCAACCCAAGAATCAATGTGTTAGGATCACTGTGGATTCTTCCAGTCCTTTCCACACCCAGTGTCTTCCCTTCCTCCCTCCCTTCTCTGCTCTCACCTATTTTCTTCTTTACCCATAGCTGCAAGTCTGTTTTTTGATGTCAAACTACCTCAGATATTTGGAGAATTCTATTTCAGCATCTTCTCTTCCGTGGTCAAGTGTATGTATGCTGCCTCTGAGGCCTGAACTTTCTCCTCCTTCTGACCAGTCCTCATTCCTTCCAGACTTGGATTTCTCTCTGAAATCTTTGATTCTAACTAGAGAGTTTAACTTCTTTCCACAGACGTGTTTTTTAAGTTCCTTCACATGCCTCATCCATATTATTTTCTTTCATATATGCCCCATTGAGTGAATGTCCATTCTATAGGATATGCTTAAAAACAGAACAAAAAATTGTCTTGTTATATTATATATTGGCTTCTAAGAAATGTATAGGCAAGTAAAGGCCTCTAAGTCTTCCTGTGTGGCCTTATTATCTCCATTTTCTTCACCGTATCGCCCGTACTAGCCACATTATCTATGAGCCGACAATTCTGTATAATGTAATAAAAGAAATTATGCTAGACTTTGCAGACCACCTTGCTGAAATTCAGACATTGGTTTTGATAGCATTTCTTCCATCTGTTCAGAAACACTATCAAACAGAGGGAATGAAACTAATTGTGTTGAGTGGTCTCTGCCCAAAATGCTTGGGATGAGACTTGTCTCAAATTAAAACAAAAAAAATTACTATTTTATGTGTATGAGTGTTTGCCTGCATGTATATATGTACACCATGTGTATGCCTGGTACACATGGAGGCCAGAAAAGGGTGTTGGACCCCCTGGAAATGGAGTTATAGATGGTTGTGAGTTGCCATGTGAGAGCTGGGAAGTGATTAGTCATCTGAAAGAGCAGCAGTTGGCTAAGTTATCTTCCCAGCCCCAGATGTAATATTTAAAAAAAATTACTTTGGAGTATTTGTATAGCTCTCAGGGATCATGACAACATGTATGTGATCCATATTTTGAAAAAAATCTAGAGAACATGACTATTAACATTAATATTATATTTGCTGATCCAGTGGAAGGAACCCAATCAGTTCCTCAAGCATGATGCCCCTTTGGAAACAATGACCTGAGTATCAACTCAGAGGCCTTGGGTTTCTAAGTACAATACACTGAATATGACATCGACACTGGGATCTTCGGTTTATTTATTTTTTTCATATTTTATTATGTGTATTTTATGTGTATGTATGTATTGCCTGCATGTAGGTAAGTGCACCCATGTCGTGAAATGCCCACGGAGGACAGAAGAGGCTGTTGGATCCCCTGGAACTGGAGTTATGGACAGTTGTTAGCTGCCACGTGGGATTTGAACCTGGGTCTTCTTCAAGAACAGCCAGTGTTCTTAATCGCTAAGATCTTCTTTTTTAAAAAAAATTTTATTTTTATTTATGTGTGTGTGTATTGCCTGCTTGTATGTAAGTGCACCTGTGATATTGGGATCTCCTTAAAACACCCTTTTGAACTGATCACTCTTCAGCCAACAGTCCCTCAACTAGTCCTTAATAACTAAGCAGTCTGCAACCCTACATCGTTCTGGACCTTTAAAAATAATAGACCTTCCTGCTAGCTCTTGTCAATGAACCCCAAGCTTCACCAGTTGTTCCTTCCCCTTCTCTGTACAGCTGTACTTATGCTACCTCTGAGGTCTGTGCTTTCTCCTCCCTCCACCTTCTGACCAGTCTTCATTCCTTCCAGACTCAGATTTCTCTCTGAAGTCTGACTTAACTAGTTTACATGCATGCACACATGTGAATTTATTTTAATCTCTCTAGGTCATTCATTTGGAAATTAATAGATGCTAACTTGAATTCTGCGCTTGTTCATGAACTTCTTTGTTTTACAAATCATCCTGTCTCCCTGAACACAGCTCCTATCATTCTCCAGATGCTCCTCTGGACAGCGTTTGGCATAGTCCTTGATGGTGGCTGCTGATTTGCAATGTTGATGAGTAAGAATTCTGCTTTAGAGTGCATTATCTTTGTGTTTTGTCAGGTAATAAAGGGCAGGCAGGAAACAGTCTTATGAATGTCTACTTTGACTACCAGTCACAGGCGGGGAAAGGTGGATGCCAGGCCAGGAAAGAGCTTGAGGCTTATACTGACAGTCTGTCAGGATGCTCTGACACTCATCCTCCCACCTCCCAGAGAGCCCAGGAAACCCAGTACACACAGGACATTTTTCTCAACTGCTGTGTAGCTGGGAAAAGCAGCTGTGGTTGCTGAGCTGTTGCCCAGGGCGGCTTGGCCACCCTGGAGAACCAAGAAAGCGGGAAGGGGGTGTTGGGGGGATGTTTTCTGAGTCTTGCAAGCAATCACTTGAATGCTAAAGGAAAACTAGGTTGTTATGTTCACAGCAAATTTCCTCAATTAGAAACGTTACAACAAATTTGTCTGATGTTAATGGAAAGCATACTTATGCACATATTCATAAAGTGAACATGCATCAAAGGCATTGTTAAGAGTGTTCTTTGACATCATAATTGGGGTTTGTAACATAAAGAAAAGAAACAGTGTTTAATCAACTAAGTAAGCCTTAGAAAGTTTTAAAGTACAGTCACTGACGGTGACGTATGACCTTTTAATGGGCACAGTCATTTCCTAACACAGTACTAGCCACTATACGATCACAGAGAGCCATGTGTCCATCGAGGGGCATGAAATATTTCAATCCCTACTTGGGTTGCAAGCCAATCTGATTCTCCAAGGTTGATGAAAAGATGTAAAGCTGACTCTTAGCTTGCTAATAAGCTGTCATATGGGCATATATCTCAGCACAGGTGCCAAGTACTATAGAAAAGAATACTTAAACCTGGGGTCCATGGGGTTCACATGTCCCTTAGAGCCACAGAATGGCTTCAGAGGGTGTTTGAACCACCTAAGTCTATACTCAAAAAAATTAAGTGTGTATGGCAAAGGGATCTACAGTTTTCCTCAGACTCTCAAAGAGGTCTATGGCCTAAAACAAATCACAATTATATCTTGGAAACTATGTACGCTACCATCCTCATTTACAGATAGTAACAGGAAACAGATATTTGCCACTAAGGTCTAGATATAAAACTGGGCTTGGCCATTTTCAGGTTATACATTTTGCCCAACTTGATCCAAACTCACTTTATAATTATACATGCAGATGTTAACCTATTTTTTTCTGTCTTCTCTATGGTTATTAGATTGAATTATATGAAACTGCTGTTTCTGTTATTAAGAAAGGCAAATACTGGCAGATGTATTCGACATGTTCTGTTCCATTTATGGTTTTCAAGCACATGGTGCCTATATGGAGTATTTTGGACACCAAAAATGGTGCACAGTTATGCAAAGGTTTGCAAGTGGTAAGACTCCGTAGTCCCCACAGCTCCAAAACATTAACCAGATCAAAAAGCAACAGGATTTTTCACATGATGGTGCCAATCTTCAAACTAAAGGTAAATAAATCAAAAAGTAAAATGAAAATCTAACAATAAATGGTAGGGAAAATTATCAATAAATGAAAGGAACTAGCATTAATACCCCCCCACCCCTGTGTGTGTGTGTGTGTGTGTGTGTGTGTGTGTGTGTGGTGTGTATCTGTCCTCTTGCCATGCTAGGCAAGTATTGTACCAATGAACTACAGTCCTAGACCAACTCTCCAATCATTTCAGGAACAAAAATAGCTTTACCATCAACAACTTTTCATGTCTTATGAAAATGAGAAATGTTCTGCAATACCTGTCTTTCATTGAAGGGCTAGAAAGAATGAAGGCAAAGAAAGGGTGAAAAACAGTCAACATATTAAGTGGATCATCAGGGCTTGGCATACAGTAAGAACTTAGCAAATATCTGCTTCGATGGCAAATGTATTAAGTCTCTTTGAGTGAAGCCTATACATTCATACATAATTTTCTCCAAAGAAGTACTAATGTAAATACCAGACGTGTAACAAAATTCACAGATGTGTTTGAGTCAGATTTTCTGATACTCACCTCAGCAGAATTGTGATATTGGATGAAGGTGGCAGAAATGGCGTGGCTAAAGGGGTCCCCTGCCTTGCTTACCATGTCTTGCCTCACAAGAAGAGCCAGATCCACTAACTGAAGAAAAGAGTAATGAAGACAGTCACATAGCTGGGGATAAGCATTCATGCACTGAAGTGATGATTGTATGAGCAGTACATTGGAATGTTATTGGTATTCCAAATACTGTCTGCCTAGAGAAATCGGTATTGTGGTCATGGACACAGCCTTTCATTGACTGGTAAGTGAAGCTACCCAAAAATACAAATGACATATTTTGATTTCTAAGGGAGTGGTTCTCAACCTTTATTTCATTTATCACTAGGGGGCATAGAGTGAGGGAGGAGAAATCAGGCCAAGAGACACTTTGGCCAGCTTGATGAGACACTTTAGAATTCTTACCTGTGCCACAGTTTCGTATGCTAAATATGCTAAAATTTCCATAGCCACAACATTGGGTTTTATCTCCATGCTGTTGCAGTCCAGCCAGTCTCGAAATTTGGAAGCTTTTTTGGCTATTATAAGAAAGAAAGTGGAGAATTTTAATTTTTAATGTGCTTTAACCTGAAGGTTATTGTCGGAAAAGGGAAAACATCTCTTTAGAAAAACACATAGGAGAAATAATGCCTCTACAAAGCAATATTTGCAAGCTTTTAAGTGTCTAGATTTTCTAGTTTGGAGACATCCGAGTTTGCACTCTTCAATGGCTGCTTTCCACGAGTCCAGCATGCATCTGAGCCCTCTGTGTGTTCTCTGTGGTAGGTGAATGCCACATCACACCATTCTACCTGCGGAGCTGTCACACTGCCTCAGTGGCAGCCACCTACCAGAGTTTACGCTGCAATCAGATCAGAGTTGCTTGCTTAATGAAACTTTATTCTTGTGGAAAGAAAATCCTAGAGGAACAAAGCTACGAGGGAAAAAGGAATACAGAGAAACTGCATTTGTAATACTTCTCAAATGTGCCTACCTGTGAATGCAGGCTCAAAATTGTGAAATTAGAATGAAATAAACCGTTGCTGGCCTCAGGTAACCTATAGTTATATTTTTGCTGATTTTGGAGATGTCTGAATTCCTAGGCCCGACTTTCAAGACTAGACGCCTGGCCTTGGGTCTCATCGTCCCAGCGTCCTGCCTGCTCTTTCTTCTGTGAGATGGTGTTCTGTCACTCTTCAGGCACATGCAGCCAAACCTTCCAGGCCAAAGCTGCACTCTTCTATTTAGGCCTTCTACTGAACTAATCGCCTGTCTTTATTTATGCATGTAATTTTTCAAACCGCAGTGTAATTTCTTTGTTGGCAAAGAATATGTCTCAAGTCTCTGCATACCTAACAGTACCATGAGGGTATGGAACTAAACAGAACACAGAACCTTCAATGACATACTGCAATCTGCAGCAGTACTAAGCAGAGTCCAATTTGATATAGGGCCTTGCTTAGACATTGCTAATTTAACGAGCGATACAGAGCTTAAAAGATTTATTGTAAAGATTTTGTGAAATCTGTGAGATAACCTTTCAAAATCACTGATTTTTTTTTGTTTGAGTTAGTCTGGGCTCACAGGTCTATAAAATCCTTAACAGCAACTCAGAGCATGATGTTTTTTTCTTTCTCGATAGGAGCCTCATGAATCCCACACACAGAACTTTCTTCTAACTAATCACAGAGGAAGTGAAGTCCTGATTGAAGCATACAGGTCCACAGCTGTCAAATGTAGTGAAGTCCTGATTGAAGCACACAGGTCCACAGCTGTCAAATGTGGCAGAATTCATGAGAGCCCCTCAAGGCTATCTCTCAAAAGCAACCAATCTTCAAGTTCTTTGACATGCAACATTCCATCTAACTAGTAAGCTGGAATGACTCACAAACACTTGTTTAACATCTGTGGAATACTTCTGAAGTTAAGAGTTAAGAGGCAGCAATTTGGCAAGATCAATAAGATGTAACTTATTCCCTTCTCCCTCTGACAGATCATTAGTAACAGAGAAACAGATAGTGACTACTCTAAGCAATTTATTTTAAAGGTAAGAAAAAGGATTATTAGTTTTTAGCCACATCTACAAACGTAAAAGAATTAGTGTCTTTGCTAAATTATAAGCACTAAAAATGTAGGGACAAGGACTATGTATCCACTGTATCCTCAGAAAATAATGCCTGATGGTAACAGACTCAAGAACTATTTTTAACAAATGATAAATAAAAATATATTTCTCTAGTAAGATGCTGCAGTCCCATCTCCTCATGATTTTGTAAACATCTAGATCTCTCTATCTCTACCTATCGGGTGCGTGTGTGTGTGTGTGTGTGTGTGTGTGTGTGTGTGAGTGTGAAGTGTGGCACATTCCACATGTGGAGGTCAGAGGACAACTTAGAAGGGTCTGTTCTCTCCATGGCCCAATATTTTTGTCTGCATTAGAAAAGATGCACAGGGGTTCTGTTAAGTGATTTGAGATTACTGTAGTGCCATAAGCTCTGAGCTAATTCCTACCTTGTTACCTAAAAAAGGCTTGCTTCCTGGCAGTGCTAGTTACAGCAATGGGCACAGACTCCTTAGTTAAGAGTTTTCATCAGGAGCTAAGGGGCCTCTGAACCCACAAGTTCCATTCCCTTCATCCTTTTTTCCAGTGTGTCAGGAGGAAGTCTTCTGGAATTTGACTAACATTTCTAATAGAATCCTGAACAATGGCCAACTATCTCTGATAGTTCTCAGTGCTATGATGCACTCAAATTTACGTAATAATTTTATACAGAAATGTAAAGGTTTAGTTAATCTCATGATTTAGTTTATCTTTTCAATGATGACTAGCAAAATCTAAGTTTTTGATAAAACTTCATTGTTCTCCTGGACTTCTACCCCATCTTTCCCACCACTCTTCTACATATTCTTTCTCTACTGTTCTTTGACTTTCATTCCACTCTGATATTCTTCTGCAACCTCAATCTCTTCGAAATTAGTCTCATTTGCGTGAACTGTAGAGTGCCTTCCTCGGATGGCATGCCTTCCCAGAACACCCAGTAGATTCCTTGTTCACTTCCTTTGGGGCCTACTTGCTAGGCAGCTGCAGTTTGCCAGGCTGCTCCAATCGCAACAGCGGGGTCTTCATTGTCTTAGCTTCTCCCATAGGAAAAATGCAGGACATCAAGCAAATGCAGAGCACTTTCTACCAGCAGCAGAGGTGGGGACCATGGAATCACATTCCAATGAATACCTTTCAGCCCACAATTCCCTATCCAAGTGAACAACTATTTAATTATGGAGGCAAAGTAAAACAATTTGAGACAAAAATGAGAGCTTTGAGTATCCACAGAGCCTCTAGAGGCTGAGGAGGAATGCTTAAGTATTTATCAATTTTAAAAAAATATTAAAAATTGAAGATAGAAATTCCAGTACAAACAGAATACAGGCTATGTAACACTGTAGAAGAAAAACGGAATTTAAAAAACAAGGAATCAATAGAACATAGAAAAAGCTAATTTAAAAACAAGCACGGATTTAAAATAAAGAGAAAGCCTACACAGGACTAAGGAGATATCTCAGTTGGCAAAGCACTTGCCTTGCAAGCCAGAGGCCTTGACACTAACCCCCAGGTTGCAAGTAAAAATAAGTTGGGTGTGATGGGAGGTGGAGACAGGTAGATCCCTGGGGCTTGTCAGAAGGCTTAGCCTTGGTGAGTTCTAGGCCAATGAGAGCCCTTGTCTCAAAAAGGAAAGAAAGAAAAGTAGACAGCAACTTGGGAACAACACCCAAGTTGTCTACTGGCTTCCACTCTTAAAAAGCACCCACACATACCCAGCCCCATCTCCTCAACATATAAACCAAAATGTATCAGTAATTAAATAGATGCAAACTGAACACTTCAATTAAGATACAAAGACTGTATGACTGACTTAAAAGAAAATCTAGGGCTGGAGATATCATTCAGAGGGCTTGTCTGGCCTGCAGGAAACCCTGGGTTCCAGTCCTATCACTGTGTACACTGGGCGTGTTGGCTCATGCCTATAATCCTAGCTCTGGGGCAGGCTGGATCAGAAGTTCAAGGTCATCCTTGGCTGCCCTGAGAGTTTGAGGCCAACTTGAGATACATGAAGTTATATCTGACAAAACAAAACAGAATGTCAAAATAAAGGGGGAAAATCTAGATTTATTTATTAAAACAAGATGTAATTGGCTAAAGGGTTGGAAAATGATTCACCAGATAAGCTATAATTAAGGAAAACTTAGTGAATTGATGTTAATATCAGATTAAGAAAGACTTTAAGAAGAACGCCTATCTGATTTATATAAATAAAAAACAAATGACCAATGATCAGTGCCCGGACACCACAGTTTAACCTGTGTGCATAAGCACTGGTGACCCCAGGGACCACCATGAACTGACACTTATGGCAGGGTCACAGTTCTGATGTCCTTGTCATTCATTGGATCAGGTAGACTTACAAGCACCTAACACCCTGGCCAGTGTGGACTGGTTTCTGAATCTACTGACTCCCTTGGACTGTGCATTCTCAGCCTTGGTGTTTCTGTTATAAAACACTCATCCACCCACACTTCATAGTGAAGCCCCCATGGGTACCATATGAGCAACTTTTTTTTTTAGCATTTTTATTGAATTTTTGTGATTTCCAGACACTATTTTTAATCTCTTCTCTTTACAGAAAAGAAAATGAAATATAATACACTGTCCAGTGTATAATTTTAATAGAAGAAATATTAATTTTCTACTATATTTATTGTGTTAAAAACAAAAAGTGAAGCAACTCAATCTAATTTTCAAATGAAAGGCGTATTAGAAGATACAGGCTATTTGTTTTAGTAATGGCACTTCTATTTCTTCCAGTGAATTAAGTTTTAAAATATGATTTAAAAAATAGTCCAGTTGCACTAAATGCTACTTTATAAGCTAGAGATTTATACTTATAAAATATTTGAATGCCATTTTTAAACCTAAAAATTATAATACAAAACCCTCTCATTTGCTGAAATTGCCACGATCTGAATCGTCACTTAATGCTTCACAGATGTTTGATGCCAAGTTATTAGTCAGATTGGAAAGTATATTTAGTTAGAAAGAAATCTTCCAAAACATGTTTTCTTATATTTTACTGACATTCACATGGGACGCTATTTAAAATGTGCCATTTATTTGTACTTTATGATCTATAAATGAGGTTCTCATTTTCTTTTTCCAAAATCAAGCACATTGTTATTATGACCACACAATATCTTTCCATTTAAAGACACTATTGTTTCTGTAATTGCTCAGACTGGGGTCATGTGTTACTCTGTCATATTTTTAACCCGACTTTTCATTACACTTTCTTTTTGACCTTTCCCCCAAGAACTTTAGTCACTACTGTTGCTCAGTGAAGGATGTCTGGTATACACAATCTAACCCACTATCACGAGTCTAAAGTCCTATTCATAAGTCGGTGTTCAGTGATGGAAAGTACTGATTTTACTGCTAGGTTACTCTTGTTTACAAGAGCATTGGCTAATGAATTTGGCTGATACTTAGCACATGCTACAGAAGGGGGTTAAAGACAATAAAATATACTATTCAAATGTTATTTTTGGTAATGTAAATAAATGTACATAAAGGGAAAGTTGGTATTTATAAGTAATATTGGGGCCTTTTAGATGTCATGACTGTACTATTAGTGTTCACTGTGGGCCAAATACAGCCAGCAATCCTCATGTAAACGTGACTAAGAAACTAGAAATTAAAATGGGAATATTAAGAAAAAGGCAATTTTTCTGACTTAAGGTCATATGAATAATTATCATGTCTGTGTATAAGTAGTATGCTCTAAATCTCTTAATACTATTAATTGTGAAACAGAAGACCATGGTAAAATTTTCGTTGGGTCCCCCACAGTGAAGACATTGTTTCTGTAACAATTATAACTATGCATATATTGAACACATCAATTTTTAAGGAACAGAGGGCATGCCATAATTTAGTACATATGTAACACATTCCCTTACACATGCAGTTAAGTGAAGTTAAATGTGTACTTACAGAAACTTAACTGTCGGCTTTCACAGAATTCTGCATATTGAGCTGAATCCATAGTTCGAGTCTGTCTTTCTGCTCGCTAATGGATTAAAAAAAACATTAATTTTTTAAAGAAAGTAGACTGTTACATACTTTTTCACAGCTGAAACTTGGGCTTGAAATACCATTATACTTACATTAATCTAGGTAAACAGTTAAGTATGGTCACACACATATAGCATGGTGCATAAAATCATGATAAATAATAGTTGTGCTGGGGTTGGAGATACGGATCAGCAGTTAAGACAGAGTATTCCTCTTGCAGAGGATTTGAGTTCAGTTCTCAGTACCCACATTGGGCGGCTCACATCTGCCTGTAATTCCATCTCTACAGGATCTGATGCCCTCTTCTGGCCTCCATGGGCACCCATACTCACATGGTGTACATATATATGCATATATACACATACACACACAGAGTTAAAAATATCTTACAGTAGCTACGAAGCTTAATTTCTTTTGGAAATAGAGTTTTAAGAATTTTCTGCTCCTTTGTTATTAAGCTAAAATGAAAGGCCTTAATTCTTTAGACTATATACTTCTAAAGTTTTCTATTTTAAAGCAGAAGAAAACTGTGAGAGGAGGATAAAGCAGACAGAAAAACTATTATTAACCATCACTGTCCATCTGCTTTAAAGTTGTGATGTTGCAATGTTAAAGTAAGAGTGAACGAAATCCATATATTCTCTCTCAGAACACGGTGCCAGAGTTAACAAAGTCATCTTTTAAATTACAAAGAAAACAAAGAAAAAGGTAAACAGAACACAGTTTCTTTAATCTGAATCCACGTATGATTCACAGCTTGGGCTAGTTTCCTTCGTGGCTTTTCTGATTCAGTGAAGCAGATGTTTGCTCCTACATTGTCTCATAGAGGTAATATAATTTTACTTCACCCAGGGTTTGGTGGGAGAGTTTGACCGCTTCCGTTTCCTTGGTAAAGGAAGTAGTTTCAAAGGAGACAGGCTGGTACTTAGAAGGAGTTTGGCTAGTGAGGGCAAAAAAATATTCCCTGGGATTTTACTTTTTTTCCTGCATTGGAAAGATTCTGCAAGTTATCTTTATCACAGTTGTTGGGGCACCTTACTTTTCTAATTTCGGCAGATGTTTTTGTACTTTTAAAATCAAAACTGAAGTTCCTTTTTCCTTTTTGTCTGATTTGAGTAGTCGTATCACAGGTTTGTTACTTGACGTGTAGCTCAGTACAAAAGAGATAGATGCGATGGTGGAGGGAACACTTACTACCTCCCAGGGTCTCTTCTAAGACTACTGCCCCTGCTTTATCTTTCTTGAGTTTTGCCTTTCCCCTGTCTTTCTTTACTTCCTCCCAAACATGCACACTCACAACGTGTGTGTAGACACAAACCTAGCCCTCTCTTGTTTATTTATCTGCTAGGTTCAAGTGTCATTTCTGAACATACACAAACATTTTATCTATATGACATGTGCCTATGTGCAACTGAGTTGACTCCTCCTTTAATTAATGATTGATTGATGTGTGTACACACACATGTCATAGCATGTCTGTGGAGGTTAGAGGATAACCTTGGATGTGGGTCCTCAGGTGTCTTCCATTATTTGTTCGAGACAAGGTAGCTCATTGATATGGTATGTCCTCACAGGGCTGGCTGGCCCTGGAGCTCCCAGATTTTCCCCATCATGCCACTGATGAGATTACAGTAATGTACCACCAGGCCCAGCTTTTTCTTGGGTATTGGGGATTCAAACACAGGTCCCCAGGCTTACACAGCAAGTACTTTAATTGACTGAACCATCTCTCTAGGCCCTGGCCCCTCCTTTTAACATGGCTGATTGGACTCAAATGTTTGCAGATGGGAAAAAAAAAAAAGCAAGCAAGGAAGTGTTTATGTGTTCTGAACAAAGTAAGTTACTAGTGTGTAAATTTAAAAAATTTTCATACTGACAACACTATCATTCCTATGTATTTATGTGTGGATATTTGTTTATATATATGAATAAATAAATATGAAACGTTATCTATGTCTATGTCTGACTAGAGGGGAAACCTCTCACATTTGCTTTTCCACCACCTAGAAAAATATCTGACACATAGTAAATAAGCAATGAGCATTTAAAAAAATTATTTTCCTTTTATGTGTATGAGTGTATTGCCTGCATGTATGTAAGTGCACCTGTGTCATGGAGTGTCCACAGAGGTCAGAAGAGGGTGTCAGATCCCCTGGACCTGGAGTTATGGATGGTTGTTAGCTGCCATGCGGGTGCTGGGAATTGAACCCAGGTCCTCTGCAAGAGTAGCCAGTGCGCTTGACCACTGAGCCATCTCTCCAGCCTCAGCAATAAACATTTTTGAATGAACAAATGCTACCCTTTTATTCAACAGGGCACGTAATGACTACTCTCATAATGTAAGCAGCCCTCCATTATCTCTGACTTCCTATATATCTTCTTTGCTATCTCTAGCTGAGCCACATTCCCCCAACACATGACTACACAGAAAGCACTTAGATTAACTATGGAACAGAGACACAATGCTCCTAAAGGGATTCTTAATGCTTTTTCTTCCACCAAGCTAGGTAATCAAGATTTGGCTTCCGTATACATTCTAAGAGAGTTGATGTATCTGCAATTAGGAATTCTAGCCATTTAAAGTTAGGAGAACTTATCCGAAGAGATTAAGGTTGCCAGGGTAGCCAGCTTTAATTAAGTGAAGTGTGTGGCAGTTGGAAGATTTTTGCCTTGTAAAACCTATCATCTGAGGCCATTTCAAAGATACTCATAGACATGTGATGGGCTTTAAATGATTACAGCTAGCTTCTTTGCTTTCAGACACCCTCTATACTGCCTCCTTCTTTTGTGCTGAAGCATCTTAGTTCTTTTCAATTCCTTCAGCATGTAAGCAGCAACCTTTGATCTGAACAGCAGTACCAGGAAGCTGGCCCTAGGGCACACACAGGAAGCCATTTACCCAGTGCCTAGCACACAGGAAACACTCAACACATGGTGGCTGATTGCGGTAAAGATTTATGGGCATGGTGTGTCAGATCTAATGGCAGGTTAAGTGTGTCTTGTTCAAGCCTCTTCATTTTAAAGGTAAGGAAATTAAGGTTATAAGAGAAGTGATTCGCCAAGGTGACTAAGCTGGAACCTAAACTCATGATATTTGCATTACAGAAAGCTTTTCCCAGTCTCTAGTAAGTTTTTACACCAATGTACTTGTTGAATCATCTACAACCAGGAACTGTAAGAATTATGATCAAATTATATGAATTCCAGACAGAGTAAGCAGATTTTAAGTCAAAGGTCTACTTAAAAGAATCAAGAGATTATCTATTAAATATTTAAGTGTGGCTCTTACTTTCTGTGGTGCACTAATTCCACTTCCCCTCTGCCACCACTCAGATCAGTTATTCAGAGCCTAGTGCATTCTCAAGCACACAGGGATGGATAGACCTTTTCTAATCCAAAAAAAAAAAAAAAAAAAAAAAAAAAAAAGGGAAAAAATTCTCAGCTTGTATAAACAGCATGATCAAAGTAAATACACAGAAAACATAATCTCTGAGATTAAAAATAAAGTTTAATAGCTATCTTTTACAAATGAGGACACTGACTTAGAAAAGGTAAAGAAAAATGTTAAAAGGCATGTAGTTAGTAAAGAGACAAAGCTAGAAGTACACCCTGAAGTCTCAGGTATATGAATTACTTAGAAAGGGAGACTTGTGTGTATCATTTGAACCCTGATGGCATTTGTATTCCCTTTATGTTCTGGCTCTGAATAAAGTATGAGATTGCAAGCTTAATTTTAAAATGTAAAAGAGTCATAAAATTTATTTTACTATTCACTATGGCCATGAAACTGAAATAATAAGAAGAGACTTATTGTGGTCAGGTGTGCACACACATACGTGTGATCCAAGTGCTTATGAGGCTGAGGCAGGAGGATCATGAATTTGAGGAGAGTATAGTTATAATCGTCTCTCAAACCAACAAACCAACCAACCAAAGAAGCAAGCAAATAACCAAGAAAGCACACAGCCACTCACCCCAATCAAAACAGAACAAGACAGAAAAAAAAAATCTCAAAAAACAAAAAAACCCTAAACTTACATATTTTTAGTATATTTGAAGCACAAATCTCTGAAATAAAAATCATTGATAAACATAGCTGGGGTATTACAATTTTTATTCACACGGACATTCTCAAATTACACAATGCCGTTCTGATCTCTGACAGCCATGCCAACGCAGGGTCCTCTGCAGATTAGTCAGACTCTTGTATCAGCAAGTCCAGTTCATCTTTTGCTGAGTCAGTCAATTTACTGGTTTCTTTAGGTGTCAAAACATTGTTCTTGAACATTCAGAAAAATATACAATATACTCACCTTTTCTTAAATTAAAACTTGCTGGTATTATTACCCAGAAAAATACTGTAACGGCATATGAGGAAAATATTACTTTCGAAAGAATTATTGCTAAAATCTTCTAAGCATCCAACAATATTTTAGCATTTAACTAGGCCTGGACAGTTTTTTAGAAAGAAAGAGAGAATGGTTGCTACTAGCCACTCAAGAAATTATAGGCCATCCTGCCTATTGTAAAATGAACTGCAAAGGCAGATTCCCATGCCAGATGGGGTTATTTTCTGGATCCTACCTAAATGAAAACAGGAAAGAAAATATCTGTATGTAAGCAGTACCCTGGATAATTTTTTTTTTTTTTTTTTTTTTTTTTTTTTTTTTCAGTATCTTGAACACAACAGACTCTCAATTCGTATCTGTTACTTTGAATTTTCAATGAAAAGCTTTTATTTCAATCCATGTGAAGTTGCTTGTCTTTGAAAACTGCTTTCAACTGGAACAAGCACTGTCCGCACAGCCTCTGCCCCCTGGGTGATGTGCAGCTGGCATCTCTCTGTGCTTTCATACAGCATATTCAAAGGCTGCAGAGGCACTGCGCTGGTGTATCTCTTGGCAAATTTTCAGGACACATGGCAACTATTTCTCTTCAGTCACTCAGAAGCAGAGAACATAACTTTCAAACGAATTTGAGGGTTCATCTGCTTTT